TGCAATGGAGCAATATATGGGTGTGTGTGGTTGGAGGATGTGTTTGTGCGTGCACGCGGGGGGGGGGGGCAAACATTTTCTTGTAAAACAAAGGGGGGCCTAGCAAAAAAAGTTTGGGAACCACTGCCATGAGGCAACATTTTGCCCTCTATGTTTTTTGTTTTCTTTTTAGTGATTTTTTTAGAGTGTTGAACATTTTCAACACTAGAGAATCTTTCATATGAAATGTATCCCTGAAACAAAATGGGACACTCAAACATTAAATATTCAAGTAGTACACACAAGCACTCAGTAACACAATGTGTATAACTTTGACTACCCTATTAATAACATTTTAAAAAAAGGAAAACACAACAGATTTTTAATCAATAGCTTTAAACCACCAACTGTTACTAGGCAGTTGGGTTAGTTTCTATGATTGTGAGGATTAGCAATACAATTAAATTTTCTCATGGGATTACACAAAGCTCTGTATAATCAGCTATTAAACTGTTCTCACAAGTCTTAGTCGATTAATTGTAAAAAAAAAAAAAAAAGAGCATATCTAAGAACATTAGCCACACATTAGGGGTAACAGCAGTGCACTCCATGATCTAATGTTATGTTTTTCTTTTTTCATTAAACTGTAATGTGAAGCAGTATTTTTCAATAATGTCTGCCTGCAAGAAAAGCACATGCCAAATAACAAACATACCATTTTCTCATGGAGTTTAGTTAAAATTGAAGCTTTTTTAAAATAAATAAATAAATAAATAAAATAAGGGTGAAAAGAAGAAAATGATGAAAACAGTTTTTCCAGAATTTCTTCCCTGCAGCAGCTCTACATCCCTCTGTAGCAGACAAAAGTACACAAACACAGTTTGAAGTTCTGGCGTTCTCTCCAGTGCAAATCTCCTGCCATCTGATGGGGTCTGATGCAAATGCATTCACGTCTCTCTCTAGTCTGCTCCACTCCAGTCTACAGACACACACACACAGAAAACCTGGACTTCACAAGTAACTATTTACTGTCATCTCCTGCTATACCACACCTGCCACCTGCACCTGTCCACCTCAGCCTTGTACTACGAAGCCTGTTTAAGATACTCAGGATGTCTGTTTTTGTTATCTGGCTTCAGGCAACCCGACATAATGAAGCAGGCTAAGTCATCACATAAAGGTGGTTATCAGCACAATAAGTAAACCCAGGGTTTCCCATTCTAGCTAGCTCTGCAGGTTTACAGCACAAAAAAGTATTTTTGCATGCTTGCAGCCAACAAAGGAGAAAGTGTAACAGTGTTTATGTGGTATTATTCCACTTGCCACAAATATCAGTGTAATGGGGAAACAGCGCCCCGCCTCTCGGTGTGGCTGGTTAGGTGAGGCTGGCTGCAGTAATCGCTGCCAGTCTGCCGTAGCCATACGAGAGGTGAGTTGTATTTACCGCACACAATGTAGCTAAATAGTACAGACACATAAACCATGTATGATCAACTGATGGGCACCGAGTGTAATAAGTGCTTAGTGGACACATGTGCAACATCAGTTTTATGTACTTTTCATTTGTTTATTAATGTGTGAAACTGTATGCTAAAGTGGAATGCTAATGGGATGTTCTGCCGTAGTGTGCTGTGCGGAGTGGTGTGTGGCGAGCCCTTTGCACTGATACAACACCGTTGTTTGCATTCAGGAAATAAACTGGCAACGATCGATCAGAGACTCCTTGTCTTCTTAAAAACACAACACAGTCGAGGAGTCTGTTTGGGCCGAACTGTTGCAGCGGGGTGAAGCAGAAACTGGTTACAAAAGCAGCAAAGCAAAAGTTAATGGATGAAGTTCAATCTAGAGCTGGGCGATAGAACGATAACGATATGTATCGCGATATAACTTTTACTCGATAGAGAAATTAAGCTATCGCGATAGACCTCGCCGCTCTTGTCCTCTTAAAAAAAAAAAAAAAAAGTCAGCCAATCCAAATTAGGTAACGCAGAGCCGAACCAATCACAGCCGCAGCGTCACGTCGCGTGACTTGTTACGTACAGCACAAGTGCCAAGCCGCACGTGTGTTTGTTTGGGAAGCAGCCAGCGGGTAATGGAGCCAGCGCGTAATGGAGGAAATGAGTGTGCCGACTAGAAAAATCAACCGAGCGTGACCGAAGAGAAAACAGATGATGGTTCCAATGCCGGAGAGATTGTCGAACGGAAGAGCCAAAGAAGTTCCGTAGTGTGAAGGTATTTCGGCTATTTCAAGTCTGACAAAAAACAGAGTAGCGTGCACTGTAAATTGTGCCGAAAGCAAGTCTGGAAATACAATAAACTGGTGCATGCGTCACACTGTGCGCCACGTTATTGTTTCGGTGAAATGAATTTCTACAATACTGTTACTGTTAATTCTACTCTCTGCAGTGTTTAAATGCTTACATATACACACAGTTACTGTCCGTCCACACATACGACTCGGTTCTGCTTCTATGCCTCAGCTTTGTTTACTTTTTCCCACCGAGGCTTCTAGACTTCTGATTGGCCAACATTTCTGCACGGTTAGGAATCTAGCGCCACCTGCTGCTTTGGCATGTTCATAGCAGCGTTTTCCTTCATTTCTGCCTTTATGTGTGGACGGGATTATTTTTTAAAACGAAAACGGAAAATCTCCGTTTTCAAAAATACCCGTGTACGTGTGGACGTAGCCTCAGTCTCTGACTGGAAGCGCTAATTCGTCATTCGGCTTTTGTCAGACTAAAGTAACTGTTAAAACTGTTTGAAAAGCTCAGCTATACAACAAGGAGAGATTGAGAATTTCCTTTTAGTTCTCAGTTTATTTGATACTGACAAAAGTTAGTCAGTTTTGTCTGTTCTTCTGTAAAACAAACTAAGATTTATTTTTAGAATTAATATTTTGTTTCTAAGTGGAATTGACAATTTAGTCTGTTTCATTTGTTCTATTTTGAAACTTAAACGCTTTAGCGGCTGCCTTTTGTGTAGTTTGCAATATTTGCCTTTATTTATCTGAAAAAGTCTCATGTTCCTTAAGTACATCTACCCTGTTGAACTTATTATGGGAAATAAATATTTAAATAAAAACAAGCTGCTGATTATTTCACATTTTACTTGTGAGCAACGGCACATTTAAATCTTACAAATATAGTTATTTGGCTTATATCGTGATAGATATCGTTATCGCCTGAAATGAAAAAAACATATCGTGATATGAAAAAATCTCATATCGCCCAGCTCTAAAGTTCAATCTATATAATTTAATACTCACAGGGGAAAACTTTAGACACCACTTAAAAACTTTAGACCCTAGTCCTAGGGATCTTACAGGAATGGACATCTGATTGATCAGTGGTTGATATTTTCATGCCTTTTGATTTCCAATCTTGAACATAACTTGAAGCATGGAGATGCAGCTGGGTATGGAGGGAACCACTTCCTTAGTACTGAAAACCCATGGACAACCTTAAAGTTACCCGAAAAACCCAAATCCAGCTTCACAGAACAGGCCACAGTTGTACTCACTAAATTCCTGCTGCAAGCAATTATATCATCAGTCACCTGTGTGCACACCTGGTTCCCATTATTTCATGAATAATATTAATAGTGCTCAGCAAATATGCATGCTTTGCCAGATTATCTAGGCTGCCCAGAAGACAACATTTATCCTGCTCTTCTTTTCTGTATTTGAGACCACCTGCTGGGCCTCACAAATGTCTGCCAACACTAGCCTTTTGGTTCTGTTTGCCACTTTATACTGTGTCTGTGAGCCTGCTGATCCACCAAGCTTAGTTTACCAAACCTGCCTTCTCTTCTGCAGTCTGTTCACATCCGGTTAGCAACATGCCCTTACACATATTTTTCAATATATGAATTAAAAGTTGCATTTCAATCACAAAAGATTTGAAATTTGATTTACCTTGCACTTATACATGCATTAAGAACATATTGTTTCTGACAAAAAATTATACTAAGTGAACAAAAATTAGTTCAGGATTGCAAATCATGTTTCCTGTTCTGTTTCCTAGTTGAATAGGAAATCATGCATTTTACAAAAGAAATTTCAGTTGTATTTTGACAAAAAAGCAATTATACAAGTTTGGGAAAAGCTCGGGATGAATCATACTAGTGAATGTGGCCCTATTTTTTCCCTGAATATTTTATTGTGCCACAGTAACACACAAAAGATCTAGTTTATGTTTATGTGACATCTACCATGCTTCTTTGTGTATGAGCACACTCTGTCCTTATGCAAGCATGTTAGTGCTTGACATGGCCTAAAGAGAGTACTTCAATTACACATGAATGAACCAACAAACATAAAGAGCAGCACTCTTACTTTGGCCCTCTTTTCAACCATCTCATAAAAAAATTACACAATAAAACTCAACCAGAGCCTCTCAGATGCAAATACTTGGCTGACAGTACCAAGTAAGCAATTTCTAAAGTGCTTTGTTGTCTTAGTGATGTGAAACATTTCCGTTCTATAATCTTAATGGAGAATCAGTAAATCCAGCTGGAAATTATTTTGAATTTTACCTTTAAAAACACTTTTAGCACCCTGATCAGCCTGCTGGTGGGAAAACATAAAAAGGGAAAGAAAAAACGAAACAACTCTAAAATCAGATTGACAGCGATGTTTGCCAGAGAAATGCGACTACACAGGAAATTAGGCAGTAAGTACCAAGACCATGAAATGACTATTTTCAATATCCACCAGGAATAAATAACTAAAATGGAGGTATTTCATATAAACCTCTCAAAATGAAAGGGCCCCAGTAAAATTGCAAGTTTTATCACGCCAAAATTTACTAAACTATCAGCAAAAGATAATACATTTCATGTTGAGAAAATTAACCCAAATTCTAGTTGTCCTTTGCTGTCTTGCCTCCAAAACTTAAATCCAATGCGATAAAACCACATTTCCTGAGCAACTCAATCTCCCAGTGTGGCTTGAAAATATTTTCCCGAGAGCATTTTTTCTGTCTTATTCATTTGTTTATGCATAAATGCATTACATGCCAGTCTACCATTGTATACAGCATTGTTGTCCACTTTTTAATTTGAGCTTTTATTTATGTTACAAAAAACACTTTAAAAAGGAAGCCTAATTTCTGCTATTTAATACCTAAGAAATATCAACTTTCACAGATGGTTCCAAAATATGCCAAACTGCAAAATGCATAGCTACGTCTTGACTAAAGCCTCTGTAACTTTGTTCTGTTTCATTTCAGCAGCATGAATCAGTCTGAAATGAAAAATATATATACTCTTAGTGTGTTTTCACATGTTATATTAATTGCATGTTCACTCACTATTTCCCATGATGATATAATATGCTTCCTTTGGTACTTTTAGTAAAAGCTTCTTTCAGCCGCTCCCTTATTCACAGAGGGTCGACACAGCAGATAGCTCCGCATATTTGATTTGACAGATTTTTTTTCACCGGATGCCCTTCCTGACACATCCCCGAAGGGATTTGTGTCCAACCAGGGACTTTATGTGTTAGGCAAATGTGTAAACCACAAGACTATGGAACCACAATCATACCTTTGGCACTTTCAGTATAATAGCCATATTTTCAGAAAATATGGCTTTGGACAGCTAAATATTGGTTCTTGTGACATCTCTAGTCTGTACAGACATGTGTGTACAAGGAAAATCTGAAAAAACAGAACACGGAACAAGCATGTGGGCATTACTGAATGGTCTCAACATGATTTTGGATCCTTGGCTTTGCTTCGCTTCAGCAAGATTTCAATCTAACATATGTAGACCAGTTTCATAGGCAACACTCATTGCTTCCATCATTACTTTCACCATCTAAACATAAAAAAGGACACAATTTTTCCTTGTAGTGGCCCACTGTGCCACTATGCTATCCAGTCAGTGTTTTAATTACTGTATTACTGTACCTGTATCACTGCGTTCAAAAGGTTGCACAAACAAAAAGCTTGTGGAATAGAAAACCGCACGACTATTTGGGCTTACCTTAGTGTGGAGCTTGGACAACTGCTTTTCATCCAGGTAGGTCTGAGTGTAGACACGTCTTTTATAGCGGAACTGAAAAAGAAGAACAAATATAAGAGGCTCTTATCTCTGCTTTGCAAAAAAAATTAAAGTTATTAACTAAAATTGTCATGCAGCATCATCTGCTTAGCCTAGCTTGTGTAAAATAAATTATTTTCTATTAGTTGGTCCTATGAAATAGAAAGTGAGAGCAGAAACAAACATATTTGGACTTATTTAATAACTTTCAAAGTCATTATGAAATGAAATTTCTATCTGCAGCTTGCTGTCACCTCTTTCCAGCACTCATGTCATGTTTGTCATATATTACATCTTGCTTGAAAACCCAAAAACTGTGACTTGGAGCTTGAATATGAAACATAAATAGCTAAAAAAAAAGTCTTCCAATATCAGCTAAACACCTCATGTATAGGAAAAGCACAAAAAAGACATTTTCACCATTTTTAGATAAAATATTTTCTACAGCTAGAAAATCAGATTAGAAAAGAAAAGCATAACAAAAGTTGAACTTGAACTCTGAAGGCAACCAATCAATACATTATGTAATAAAAAGTAGAAAATCTGACAAAATAAAAGTCAAAAAGTAACTACTTGACTTAAGTATAGCAGATAAATAAGTATAGCTGTACACAGAAAAGGCGATAAAGACAACTAAAATCACACCTGACAACTCCTCACAATCCTCCATGACAAGATAATAAATTAAGACCAGGCATATAAAATGAGAATCCCACAGAAGATGACTTTTTCAGAAGCAGAGCAAGAAAGTGGTCAGCAATTTGGTCGGGATCCTTGTAGCTTAACAAATATGAGACAAAATATAGCTTTTTAAAAGAAAAAAATGTATACGTTGGAGAAAGTGTGCTAATTACATGGCTTGGCATATATAGAGTACAACCAGCTATTTATAAAAGAAATGACGAATGCACGAAGGTGCTTAACCAGAAAATGTTCCAGCAGCAGATGAGGATGTGAGCACAACTATTTCAACTATTTCAGCACGTTTCCTAATATTATAACAAAGCTTCTTTGTTTTGTTTTTTATCATAAAGAAGACAGATCCAAGGCACAAGTGGTCTAGTAATCAGACAATAGGTTAGAGATGTGGCAGTGGTGAGTTCAGGTAGCATGATGACTTGAGCTTTCACTACTGCAAACTAATTCATCAAGCTTTCTGCCTCTACCATCCAACTTTGGTCAGCAGCTTTACCGGAATTTGTCAAAAGCCAGATCATTCATTAGGTCTGATGCAAACTGCTTGTTTTGTAGAAAGGTTTCACTGAACACTGACAGCCTGTAATACCTTTAAAACTTTGCGACTTTCACTGCCCAGGACTCCATGTATTTCAGGTCTCTTTGTGCTTGTGTGTGTACGTGTGTGCATGTCTGCTTCTCCAGCGATGTGTGGCATTCACCAACAGAGTAAATCCACAGCAGAGCACAGGATTTTCAGCCGCTAATCCGAACCTGTCAATCTTCTCTACACCCAACATGCCTAAGGGAATAACTGCAGGTCAATACATAGTGTTCTGGCAAAGTAGCAGCAGACACTTGTGCACACACAAACTGATCAATCCACGCCTATTGAGCTAAATTGTAAGTTTTAGGAAGTACAACCACAAATCCAGATAGAATTAGATACAGTACAGACTAGACAAACAAATGGACAAATGGCACTGACAACTTACCCACCCTGTCAGCTCTTGCATCATTTTGCCTCTTAAATTGTGTAACATCCTAAATGCTGTGTAGAATGAATGTTAAGGGGTTTGGTAAAGGAACCTAACTGGTAATGCCATTGCAGAAAATTGTGTTGTTGTTTTTTTGTGATAAGCTGTGACTTCTGTAGAAGTATATGAGCTAAAACTGAGAATTTTAGAGAGAGGGTAGTAGAAAGTAGAAACATTAAAATGTGTAGACATAGTCTAGTAGAACTCCAAAATCAACGTAATTAACTTTAAATGAGTATTATTCGTCCTTAAGCTGAGACATTACACAATCTCAAGCTTGATTTGCAGTCAAGACTCTAGAAAACTAACATAGCTAATTTCATAACAAAGTTTTATAACAAAGTAACGAGACAAAAAATTCTTAATGTTTCAGGGAAGAATTTACTCTTTGGTAGATCTTTATTTCGCTTTATTTCAAGCTCTTGACATGTCACAAAATCACTGAAAACAAAGGCAGTCAGGGAAAAAAAAGAAAGAAAACCTAGCCGTCATCTTTACACCCTTGTCTGTTAAACAGTCTCTAATTCTCTCAGATCAAAAAGCTTGATGGACAAGCACTGTAATTATCTTTGAGAGATGACAGCTGCAGCAGACAATAAACTGTCACTGACTACAGCATTATTGCCATCGGGTTTGACTGGCACATCAGAAAAAGCATACATCACACTTAAAATGATGCAGGCACATGCATCCAAATGTCGCATCAGCCTGCATGTGAAGCATAAACACACATATAGACATACGACTTTTGAACAACAATGAGTTGTAATATGACTGACAAATGACATGGTGAGAAAAATGATAAGAGAAACTATTACACTGGCCTATAAACTGAATCACGCTGCCATGGGAACAAGGACCCCTCCCCGAAAAACCACAGGTGCAAGATGCTGTATTTATTATTAGGTTAAAGGGACTATGACTAAAAACACATTCATCAATATGGTTTAAAAAAACAGATGTCTACAGTATGCTAGGATAAAACCTATAAAATATAACGCATCAGTATTTATATAACATCAAAACAACAGTGCACTAAAACAAAGGTAAATTAAACAAAAACTACGTGCTGTATATGAATGAATCAGCACTGTGCGCAGGCATAGTGACACTGGTGTGCAGTGTTGGCCCCTATTATGCGAAGCAAGCACCTCTCACTGTTGTGTAGCAAGATTCAGCTGCTGTGAAGTTACTGCAGACTGGAATGATTAGGTTACTCTAATCAAACATGAAGTGTCTTAATAAGCTCAGGTTTCAGTTATCCAAATGTTGTGCCCCAGAAAGGAATTAAACAAACTGTTCATGCAGCATTATGATGGCCTCTCTGGCAGTTATTAGCTAGAACAGAGCTAGAGAGGCCACTAGACTGCAGAGCCAGCGTTAAGCATGTTCAGTTTCCCAAACATATTTCTTATACCTCCAATAAAAAACGTTAAGCTCTATATATTTCATATTTCGACAGCCCTACTTCCATAACTACAGTAGTATGCATTCTTGTTGAAATCAGCTGAAGCAGCGACAACCAGCTTTTTCTGTGACATACAAAATAAATAAAACAACCATTATTGGGAACGCTGAACTGTTGTAAAATTTCCAAATTAAAACAGGATATGGACAGAGTTGTTTCATTAAGTGGTGCAGGAGGCACTGATTGGCCGGCTTGTTTGCCAGTATCAACATCTGTTGTTCAGCTTTTCCTAATAATACTCATTTTGATCGTGTGTTTAGTATTCACAAAGTGCTTTACTTAAATCACGCAAAGATAATTATTAGGACAATATATAAAATACAATAAAATATAGGAGGAATATAAAAGCATTTCTAATGTGAATTGATTTTTCACAGAGTCAAAAATCTTTTTGAAGATGTATACACGATTATGTATGGTGCTGTTGCATATACAGCTTCTTTCTCTCTTCCTATCATACATCAGTGGAAGCCTTATAAATGCACACGATCCACACCTACCTCAAGGTAAGGTACAGGAGCAATAGATGGGAAGGGGTATTCCCTTAGCCGTCTCTCCTCATCCAGAAACTTGCCAGCCCTGCCGTTGTATGCCGGCTGGAATAGGCCATAGTTTAATACATCCTTCAGGCTCTGGTTGAGAGTACACAGGATTCGCTGCTTGGACAGCCAGATTGGAGCATCCACATTGAATTTTAAACACTTCTGCAGAGACAAGAGTAAAAAAAGGGAAGAAGGTTAACTTCACGGCATGTTTAAACATATCACATACTGCACTTAAGCGGAATTAGGAGACTGATATGTAACATATAATAAGAACATATAACATTAAATATAAGGACCTGTTTCATCACAGAGACATACATTGGATGTCCAATATCATAAGAATAAGAAAATGCCAATTCACATACAGTACTGTACAAGAATCTTAAACCAAACCTGATTTCTTTCTACTTTTCTACTTTGCTCCCAAGAAGCCAAACTTACATATATATTGCATATATATAAGAGCTGATGAGAAAAAGTATAAAAAATCTAGATTGTATCTTTAGACACTTTGTTACTAGCAGCCTATCGCAAAAAAAAACAAAAAACACATAATTTGTTCCCACTTTCTTAGTGAAATCAAGGAAAACATAGCACAGTTTGACATAAAATAGTATTTTTGCACCAACAAGGTGAAGTCCAAAACAGCTATTAGATGAAAACTTGACAAATCTCTTCATGGTGTGCAGTTTTCCTAAAACATGTGAGGAAACTGGACAAGTGGAGGACACAAGAAGCAGCCTAAAAAACTTTCTGCAGTAAAAGAACAAAATAGTATTTCAAAGTCATGTCCTTTAAAAAGATCCAGCAATGACCTGAAACACAAGATCTCAGAGATGCCTCATCAGAAAGAGTCTCAGTGGAAATGTAGCTGTTAGGAAGCCATGTCAGGAAGGGAGTGAACCAGGGAGAAAAGGTGTGCCAAGTTACACAAGAACTGGACTAAAATTTAGTGGCATCAGGCCTTTTGGATTTGTAAATACTAATGTAAAGTTTTGAATTCATACCACCGTCAACAAATACAGAGGAGGTTAGAAGGGAGGGACAACACTGAATGTCTACAGTTATCTGTCACACATGGTGGAAGCTCTGTTATGGTTTGAAAGCTGCATTTCAGTGGTGTTGGAGATCTTGTCAAAATTGAACACAGAAAAATACCATCGGATTTGAATCCACCATACAATACCATCTGGAAAGCAATGAGGACTTTGATCCCAAACACTCAGCCAATGTAGTAAACGCATACCTGAACAGAAAAACACAACAGAGGAAGATTAGGTGTGGACTGACATCCCAAAAGCCTGGACCTAAACATTTCTGAAGTAGTGTGGGATCATCTTCAGTGAGAATGGAACAAAAGAAAGCCAACATCCAAAGAAGAGCTTTGAATGCAATTCAAGAAGCCTGGAGAACTATTCCTGAAGGCTACTCAAAAGAAACTACAGGAAAGCTTGCCTGATAGAGTTCAGGCTATGTGTGTACAGATGGCCATTGTATTGTATAAACTCAGTTTTGCCTTATGTACTGTATCTCCATATATATTTCTACCTTTCATTACATAATTGCACCCACCTCCCCATTTTCTCAACAAAATATAAAGGGTTGGCTCAAGATTTTGTGCAGTAATTTAAGTATAGTAATAGCTTCAGAATTACTTTTGAGACTTTTCTTCGAAAGGTCATCTTAACAGTCAGTGGTAGTTACCAGTAAATAAAACTAGAGAATAATAGGCAAAAGCTCTCACAGAAAGCCTTTATTTTGCTGACATCAATTTTTCAGAAACTTCTGGTGTCACGCCTGAGGTAAAAGCCAGGTCTTTTAATATAATATGCAATTCACATAGGTATGGTGGCTTTTCACAGTTATATATTACTGTTCACCCTAAGAGCCTGTGGTAGTTAAAGTAAACAAAACTAAGCAGAATTTCTTACACATAAAGTCGACATCCATTTTTCAGCAACATAATGTTGTGTCAACATGTGAATGTGCATTATTTATTATTCTAGGAAAAATGAAGCAAGGCAGTATGTAACTGCTACACCAACAGCAGCAGGAGTTCTGTCTTTAGTCATAAATGCAAGAGTTCAAAGGTTCTGATGCCTGTGGGAAAGATGTGGAAAAACAATCCACTCTGCTGATTTCTGTGCTCTGATAAGCAACCGCATATATATGCAATACATACTGTATACAGTGGAAATCTGCCTCTTAGGCATAAACTTCTCCTGTCTAAAAAAAAAAAAATCTCAAAAATTGTAAACGTCTGCCAACTGTTAATTAAAACTCAAATATTGGCTAGTTAACAGTATATGCAGTGCTATGCAACCAACTTCTCCAGTGTGCAAATGTGTATGGATATTGTGGCAGGTTCAAACACCTGCAGAGCCTAAGCTATAAATGGCACAGAGAGCAGAGAAAGTACCAAACCAATAACTGATAAATCAATAATTCCTGCGTGCAATATAAACTCCAAACCTCAGCTCTAACCCATTCAGCATCACTGTATTTCTGACAGTGAGATGAAAATGTTAACAATAAAATCTTCTAACAGCAACACATCACTAACAACAACCACACGTAAGTGTCAAAATGCAGAGGCATATTAGTTAATCTCTTTAATATTCTGAGTTTGGCAAAGTAATAAATGAGTCAAAAATGAAAGTGCAAACATTACAGTAGTTGCAGAAGCAAAGACACACGGTAATGCAAAATTCAGAGATATAGGAATCTTGGTTATAAAATATTAAACAACGTGTTTAATATTACTGCGTTATACCACGTTTTTCATGCATTGCTCCAAAGTTCAACTAAATCAGCTGAATCAAAATCACACGGGCTTTGATGGGACCTTATCATTCTACAGTCTTGGCCTGCATGATGTGCTCTGTGCTCAGCTCAACCAGCAGAATTGCAGAGGATGTGCCTGAACCAGAGGTATTACTGCTACAGACCATTTAACAGTTTAAGAATTGGCTTGTCCCCAGTGTGTAAGACTTTGTCACCTTAAGAAGTAACTGAAGAAAATATTTAAAAATGGCAAATTGCTATTGATAATGCTGTTGATTATTGAATTTAAATGGTAACCCTCAGTTAGGTCAAGAGAATCAGATGAGAAAAATATTGGTTCTGTCTACCCTGAATTGATCTGTCCTACTTTATATACCAGGTGACCATATCAATGGTTTTTGAAGCCAGCAAGTCATGATATCATTTAACCAATTATTCTTAGGTTGATAATTGTTAATAGGTTATTTGGATTCCTTATTAAGATCTGTTAAATAAAGGTCTGGCTATATGAGGTCAATAAATAAAACTATTACTAAAATTTATATCCCTCTAGCTATCCAACAAGTTGTACTTTTTACTGTACCAATCAACCCAGCAATCCACAGCTAACCTGGGATTTCCAAGGAAAGAGGTCCCCTTTCAAATTCTCTACTATTTGGCTTTACTATGCGTTTTCTTCTTTCAAAACAGTCGGGATTTTACCATCAAGGTCTCTTTAGTTAATCGCTTTGGTATTGCTTTAAGGGGAATATTTGTTGGCAACTATTCATTTCATCATTAAATGTAAAGTTTAAAACAACGGTTATAGTTATTTCTGTCATGATCCTTTGGTTTTATATCCAGTGTTTTCAGTTTTAGACTCGCTCTTCTGTTTGATGTTTTCTGTTTGACTTTGTTGTGGTTTTGAGTTGAATATGATCTTTTCTTAGGTTGTGTTTTCATTTTGATTTTGTATCCATAGTTTTCTTTCTTGGTTATTCTTATGTTCTCCATGCCTAGTCGCTGTTTCTGTTATGTTTCCCATGTTTAGTTAGTTGTTGTCTTTGTCTTTACTTTGGTCTGTCAAGATCCATCTCAGTGGTTAGGCTTCCTGTTTTATTTTGATAATCTCTCATCTCATGTGCATTATATTCAGTTTTGTTTCCCCTCATGGTAGTTAATTCATTTTGTTCACCTGCACCTTGTTTTCACCAGCTGTGTGCCTGATTACCTCATGTGTATTTAAACCCTCGGTTCTCCTTAGTTTTTTGATGCATTGTACTGTTTGTCTGCATAAGCATTTTCCTTGTGTATTACCTGCTTTGGATTATTTTTGAACCCCACTTTCCTCAGTCATCTGGATTTGCTGCCTCACCTAAATAAAGGTATGTTTTTTGTTTCTTAAATCCTGTCCTGTTTTCTGCTTTTTTGGGTCCAGATTTTCCATAACCATGACAAAACAATGCAACCACACTGGACCCAGCAGGCATTGCAATAGCGCTAGGTGATGAGTTAAGGGAGGAGTTCCAGAGATTTGTTAAAATTTCTAAATGAATTAGGACTCTACTGATGTTGGAGTCGAAGGCCCGTTACCACCAACCCTGGCCTCCAACCCAAGCTGCCAGAGGGTCTCTGCCTCTCCTCAGTCTCTGCCGCTGGCAACGGGGCAAACCTCGAGAAGTTCTTTGTCTCCTCCCATAACTCCACTGGCCATATGGCCAGCCTCCTGAGCCACTCCACAGGCGATGCTGGCCACATCCTGGACCGAGCTTTTGTGGCCGACTCAGTCTCCTGAACTGGTGCGTCACCCCATGGCCAGGTCATGTTGGACTCAGAGACATTGTATGTTGGTTCTGTTTCAGGCTGTAATTTATTTTTCATCAAGAGCTTGGATTACTGAGGGGTTAAGATTAATTCCTGTTGGAATTAACTGAATTTTGCAAAGAAAGGCTCACATGGCTCTTTATTTGTTTTGAACAAAACCTCTAGGATTCGCCTGAGTCTGGGCACAATTATATCACTGATCAGAAGGAACAGTATTTCCATGCTGCACACTACCCCAACACAAAGGAATGACAACAAAAGTCTTCCCTAAAAACTGAAAGAAAGAGACATTTACTGCACTGCTTGAGTTGAGTTTTTTCTGATGTATTAAAAGAATAATAATAATAATAGTACCATTTTAGACTGTGATAGGTAGGGATGGGTACCGGTGTCCGGTGCCATGATGGCACCGGTTCTGACATAAACGGTAGTAACCAGACCGAAAAGCAACGCACATTTCGGTGCTTTATTTCGGTGCTTTTTTTTCCTGAGCTGTGATACACTTCTAGCCAATCATTTTACGTTTCCGAGGATAGTAGGCGGGGCCAGGTACGTACGTTCTGTTAGAGCAG